CCTGCGGCAGGGGGACAATTGATCGCGTTAGGACTGAGCCATGGGATCAGCCAAGACCTGCGTACAATCCAACTCTCTGTTGCGATCGTTCCATTGCTCTGAGAATAGTATTCTCAGAATACCCCGTCAGCCACCTGGAGCCGATTAAACAGCTCCCACCTCCGAGTTCAAGTTCTGGTACAAGCTACTTTGTCCAGCTCGGACCCTTTGGACCCAAGCATAGAGTGTGGTCGACCGGACTTATTGTTACCCGGTTCGGAATCGTAACTCCCGATTGGGGCGAGTCCTCAATTTTCGATTGAAGCGTGAAGGTTTCCGGAGCCCAAGTATGAAAAACTTTCAAAGCATTTCGACACTCGGAAAGTCGACCTGAAACTCGGCGGGCCACAACACTTCAATCGGCTCCTGGCTTTCCCTTGAGGTTACATCTACTTGGGCTCGTTAAATAGATGCCCCAACCAAGAATCGAACCCCAAACTTTCAGATCTTCAACCTGGCGCTCTCCCAACTGGACCATTGAGAATTCGAGCACTTCGAACCGAGACCGTGAAACCATCTCATCTACTGCTACCGGTCCCGTCAGTTATTTCTGATGTTATCGTCAGGGAGACCAATAGAGTTTGGCGACTTTCTTTTAGATCGGAATGGCATCCTTCTGCTTCTAGTTGCATGACTCATTGTCTATCGTATCCGCGACTATACTATATGCCCAATGAAATGTCCTACACTCGATTAGATGGAGCAACACGGTAGAGCCTAGGCTCTCAGGGCGATGAATGTGATTGAAATCCACTACAACTCAAATCTACTCTCATAATGGAACAGGCCAAAATATACACACTCCCCTAGAAAAAGTAACACTCCCGTGCAGTGGACCGCGACCTTCCGAACATTTTTTGACTTGAAGTCGAAATCGGGGAGGCCGGTATAATTACAAACTATATGAGAGGCAATGGGCCCAGCCAAGCTTCCAGTGGACTCTAATAGAGCTGTGCAGAATGCACCGAATACGCCGGTGTAACTCACAGTAACACAAGCTAGAAGGATGCCTCGAACAGGATTCGCCAGTATCTCCTTTGTGAAGTGATGGACGTGTGCTAGTGTGAAGAAAACGGGACCACAGAGGACGAGGCGCCACGGCAACGATATGGAGGCCTCTCGCAACAGAGCATCGCAGCAACCGCGGAAAACGAACTCCTCGGTCACTGGAGCAATGATGAGAGCTCGGGCCACTTGCCACTTATTGAGATTCCCTAAGCTATTTCCACCATACATGAGGGGACCGGCCATCAAAGTAAGCGTCAAAATGAGGCCGACCGCAGCCGATTTGAGAGCAGTTGAAGGATGTATAAGAAGGTCTAATGCTTGTATACGATGGTCAGTTACGGAGCTAACGATGAAATAACTGATGAGAGAGGCCGATACAACGGACAAGGATCGTAATTGGATAACGTCGGTGCGATCTCGTGTCTTGGGGTTGAGGACGTCGGAGTGGAGCCCTAGTAAGGGCCAGATGTATAAAAGGCCAACGAAGAGGCCGCTGCATACGGAGCAGTAGAGGACAGCAGTCGTTACGGTCAACATGATAAGTAATCGGAAGCTGAGTTCACTTGAATGTCCTCCTTAACAGCATGGTACGGTGAAGTAAATGAATATGACGAGTCAGGGCGCGTCAAATGATGTTGGACTGCCATAGAGTATACCGACATAGCGGAGGTCTTGAATTCGTAAGTGCTCCAGATCAAGTGCAGTCGCGCGCGCCATTGTGGTCGATTAACCATCGTGCTACCTCCCGTAGACTTCCTGTGCATAACTCGATTATGGGTAAGCTGACATTCATCGGTCTAGGGCTAGGTGATCCGAAAGACATCACCCTCAAAGGTAGTGCCAGCGTTGACTGTTTGTAAGACGTACTTGGTCATGTAGGGCTGGAAGCACTGCGGGAGGCCGACTACGTTTACTTGGAGAGCTACACTAGCATCTTGGTCGGCCAAAAGCCTGATGACTTACGAAAAGCGTAGCAACCGTTTGTTCTGTCGTTGCGGCCCAGCTGAGGTGACAGGTACGGTATCGATGTGCCCTTCATAGAGGCCGATCGCCATCTAGTTGAAGGCGGCTGTGAGGAAATGCTGCAAAGGGTAGCTCTACGTGGTAGAAAGTAACAATGGTTTAACCTGGTGCTCTATAGGCTACCGAAAACAACGTATGTTTCTGTGTTGTTGGAGATGCGTTGTGTGCGACTACGCATACGGACCTGTTCTTGCGAGCTAGAGCTAGGAACATCGAGGTTGGTATTTCACTATGTGTATCGCAGCATATGTTAACTCAGGTGTCGGTAGTTCATAATGCCAGTATTATGAACGCTATAGCTTGCTGTGGGCTCCATCTGTAGTAAACGGGAGGGAGATAATAGTGAATGCTCAGATTTCACAGTGAAATTTTCACTAGGTTGTTTGGAAATGTCTTGAGAAATGTGTCCGTTGAAAATGGTGTAGAATGCGGTGCTTCGGGTGGTCGAAAATGAACTAACTGTAA